TCTGCTCCTTCAGAAGTAAATCAAAGTAAAAGTACCTGAAAGTTCAAGTTGCCATTTGTATCCAACTTAAACTGGTGAGTTTCTGGCTTGAGCACTTGACTAGGTAGCTGGTGTTCTGCAATTTGAGATGGGTAACAGAGTAGACAAGGACCAGGCTTTTTATTTTGTTGTTGTTGTAATTGCTGTTGTTGTTCTTGTGGGAGAGAGAAAGAAAATAAGATCAGTTTTGGATATTGACTTTAAGGTCACTTTGATACTCCAATTGGAAATAGGAACCTGGCATTTTGAATATATGGGTCCAGATACCAGAAGAAAGTTGTGGGATAAAGATAAAAACATCGGAATCTTCTGCTAAATAGATAGAAATAGAAATAGATTGAAATTGAAATTACAGATATGAATGAGATCACAGGTATGAATGAGAGAGTATAGTTAGAAGAGAAGAGAAGAGAAGAGAAGAGGGTCAAGAACTGAAACCCTGAGGAAAACTCATACTTTTGTTAAGACCAGTGAGGAAGCTGAGAAGGCAAATATTTATATGGTGCAACATACAAGAGAAGCATGGTATCTGAATATAAAGTGGAAAACCATTTCAAGGGGAACATGATTAACAGTGTCAGATGGTACTAGAATCGTGTAGAATGAAAACTATCCACTGGATTTAGCAATCAAAGGTCATTGATGACCTTGGAGAAAGTTGTTTTGGTAGAGTGGCTGTAGCTAATGTCAGAAATAGTTTTTGTTTTGTTTTTATTGTTATTTTATTATTATTTTTTAATTTAGAGAGAGAGAGAGAGAGAGAGAGAGTGTGTGTGTGTGTGTGTGCATGTGAGTGGGGGGAGGGCAGAGGGAGAGAATCTCAAGCAGACTCCATGCTGAGGGCAGAGCCCACAGTGGGGCCTGATCACATGACCCTGAGATCATGACCTGAGCCAAAATCAAGAGTTTGTCGCTCAACCAGCTGAGCCACCCAGGTGCCCCAAAGTCAGAAATAGTTTTAGGACTATTTGTGAAGTGAGGAGAGGGCACCAATTATAGATAACCCTTGAGAAATTTAACCTTGGGGATGGAGAGGGATTCAAAGGAACATTTTAGGAAGCCAGAAAAGAGAGAGCAAAACAGTAAATGTATACATGTTATTAACATTTAATTGCACAAGAATTTGTGGATTACATGAAGGGCACAGGGAGGGAACTGAGAATTGAGAGATGGACAGGAAATAGTCCTTCCCTTCAAGGTGCTCAAAGTTTAATAGGGGAGAGGGAAAGATAAAGAATTATGTATATAGACTGTGTAATAATAGATGCATTAAATTTAGTGGTAGCATAGTAGTGAAAGTGAAGAGTACGTTTATCAGGAAGGAGATAAGAGAAGACATTAGAAATAACATTCTGAGTTATGAATTCTTTTTTTTTATTAAAGATTTTTTTTTATTTATTTGACAGACAGATCACAAGTAGGCAGAGAGGCAGGCAGAGACAGGAGAAGGAGGCAGGCTACCTGCTGAGCAGAGAGCCCGATGCGGGACTCCATCCCAGGACCCTGAGATCATGACCTGAGCTGAAGGCAGAGGCTTTAACCACTGAGCCACTCAGGTGCCCCCTGAGTTATGAATTCTTAAGTGTTTTCTAGGAAGAGTATGAGAAAAAGAAAAAAAGCATAGTTTATAGGAAACTATATACAGCCTTTAAAGTGGGGTTCTTGGAATCAAATTGCTTAGATATAAATCCTGCCTCTAACATTACTAGCTCCGTGACTTTGGGTCATTATCGGGTAAACATTGCAAAGTCTCAAATTCTTCACTTATAGTATGAAAGCTGATAATTCCTATTGTATAAGATTCTAGGGACCTTTAAAAGCTGTGAAGCACTGAATTCAGTAGCTGGTACTCAATACATGTTATTATTATGGGATCTAAGATACAAAAAGAGTGGTGAAGTATGAAGCTACAGAAGTTAATTAGGAACCAGATCATGATAGATTTGTCAGGAAAGTTAACACTGCTCCCAGCATTAATTAAAAGAAACTAGTATCATTATTAGAAAACAAACTGAAGTCAGGATTAATTCTACTAAAAAAAAGTCTTCAGGAAACATCTTAATTATAATCTCCTGTTAATGAAGCCTAAGGCAACAGGTATGTATGTACAAGTTCCTTACAGGATACTAATTAGGAGGCTGAGATCGCTAACCTCTAATTGTGCAATTTGCAAATATATTTTTATATCACAACATCTTATAATACAAAGCATTGTTTTCCATTAAGATTGTTGCAAAACTTCAGTTTTCTAATTTTTTTCTTTCTATGTTTGAGTACTTCTTTTTCTTTTCAAATTCTTATTTAAATTCTAGTTAGTTAACATACAGTGCATTATTGGTTTCAGGAGTAGAACTCATTGATTCATTACTTACACACAACACCCAGTGCTCACCATAACAAAAACCCTCCTTCATGTCCATCACCTATGTAGCCCATCCCCCCACCCACCTTCTTCCAACAACCCTCAGTTTGTTCTCTGTCTTTAAGAGTCTGTTATGATTGGGTACCTGGGTGGCTCAGTTGTTAGGCATCTTCCTTCGGCGCAGGTCATGATCCCAGGATCCTGGGATCAGGGTCTGTGCTCTGCGGGAAGCCTGTGTCTCCCTCTCCCACTCCCCCTACTTCTGTTCCCTCTTTTGCTGTGTCTCTCTCTGTCAAATAAATAAATAAATAAATAAATAAATAAATAAATAAAATCTTTTTTAAAAAGTCTCTTATGGTTTGTTTCTTTCTCTTTTCCCCCCTCCCATCTGTTCATCTGTTTATTTCTTAAATTCCACATATAAGTGAAATCATATAGTATTTGTCTTTCTTTGATTTGTTTTGCTTAGTATAATACACTCTGGCTCCAACCACATCATTGCAAATGGCAAGATTTCATTCTTTTTGATGACTGAGTAATATTCCATCACATACACCCTCCCCCCCACATCTTCTTTATCCATTCATCAGTCGATGGATATTTGGGACTTTTCCATAGTTTGGCTTTTGTTGATACTCAGTTTTTTTTTGTTTGTTTGTTTTTGTTTTTTAATGAATTGGTAGTGTGGTATTACTTTGATTTCAGTAAAAATGGTATTTCGGGGTGCCTGGGTGGCTCAGTTGGTTAAGCATCTGCCTTTGGCTCAGGTCATGATCTCAGGGTCCTGGGATTAAGCCCTGCATTGGTCTCCTTGCTCAGTGGGGTGTTTGCTTCTCCCTTGCTCTCTCTCTGTGTTTTCTCTCTCACCTCTCTCAAATAAATAAAATCTTAAAAAAAAAAAAAAAGGCTATTTCAACTCTACCACCAAAACAAAACACACCAAAATTAACTTATCACATAGTGTTGCTCACCATGAGTGTTTGGTAAAGGCATTTTAAAACTAGAGTTAGACTCCACAAAAAGCTGCAGTAGGATGCAAGGAAATCCTCATGTGAGCTGTACTCTTACTCTTTTTTCATAGTTTGAGTGGATGAAGTTTTCTTTGGTCTGAAAAGTCAGTGATTTATCTTATAGATTTTTATTTTGAGGAAGACTTTTTCTTTTCTCTTTGTAAGATTTTAACTTCTCACTTACGGGAATAATATTCCCTCTATAGAAGGAACTTTTGCCTTCTAAAGAGAATTCTGGGTCACCACTGCCTAGAGTTAATTTAATCTGTTCAGTATTTTCTTTAAAATATTTAATTTTAAGTAATCTCTACACTCAATGTGGGGCTTGAACTGACAACCTCAAGATTAAGAGTCACTTGCTCCAACCATTGAGCCATCCAGATGCCCAACCTGTTCAGTATTTTTAAGGTTAAAAAGATTTATCAGTTTGGGGCACATGGGTGACTCAGGGGGTTAAGTATTCCACTCTTGGTTTCAACTCAAGTCATGATCTCTGGGTCCTGAGAGCCATCCTTGCAAAGGGCTCCTGGCTCAGTGCAGAATCTGCTCTGGGTTCTCTCTCTTCCTCTGCCCACACCCATCCCCATGCTCTCTCTTTCTCAAATACATCTTAAAAGGAAAAAAAAAAAAAAAAAAGAAAAAAGAAAAAAGAAAAGATGTATCAATTAAAAAAAAATCTTCGTTTGGGAATTTTCCATTCCTAATGAATCCAGTGGTAAAATCTTTATACCTGAATTGTTAACGGCGATTTTGTTATTTGATATGGCATGTACTGTTGATACTCGGTATACGGTGGCTTAGATTACATCCTGTGCGTGTGCCTCAATTTCCCTAATTTTTTTCCCAATGGTTTGAGCCTACAGATTTCGCCTCTTTTTTGCATGTTTATTTACATATATTACTGGGTCGATTTTTCCAGGTGTTTCATTAAGAGCATCAGGTTTGTTTTTTGCAGTTGTCTAGAAATTTCATAGCGGAGGAGGTCCTGAACTCCTGCCTGCAAGGTAGGTCTTTGGCTTGTTGATCCTTAGTAAACACACCACGTCCATCTGGGCGTGCAGGGGAAACTCTCTAACCAGCGGCTTTGGATTTCAAAGTTTTGTTTTTCCCCAAGACCCACAGTAACATCTACAGCCCAGCACACGTGTACATGACTGAATAAAAAATGTTGCTATAGAATATTTACGACTACCCGAGATGTCCCTAAAATTTCTTACTCTCCTTCATATAAAACCAAAACTGCATTCCTTCCAGGTAACTGATTTTACAAACATGGTTAAAGCCCGACTGACATCTCTCCTCTAACAGTCTCCGCCTCTGCTCCTTCTATCACAGCCCTCGACAGTGCGACGTTTGTAGCTGGGAAGGGAGAGACCCGCGATGCCCCCGAGCCCTACGCAGGCTTTGCTCAGGAAGGACTGAGCCCGCTCGCCAACAGCTGCGCACGGACCCACTGCCCTGGCTAGGTGGATGATGCAGGGCTCGACCCATCTCCCTGCCCTCCGGCTTCCTGGAAGTCCGCCCCGCCCCCTCCATCTGCTCTCCGCCGATTTAATCTCGCCACTGCGAAGTGGGCCGAGCGCCGAATGATCGATGTTCCCTCCACGCCTCGAGAGCCGCCATTTTGGGGGGAGGAAAACAGAAGTAGGGGTGGCAGGTCGTCCACAGGATGTTGGCTGGCTTTTGCTTCTCTTGCCAACGCTGTGGGACCAGGGTGGAAGAATCCACCGGGGCCACTCCTTCGGCTGTCTCTCCGGAATGAGGCCTCAGCGCCCGCGCTGGACGGCCCCCTCATTCAACCGAGAGTGAGTGGCGATCGGCGGCGCGGCGCGCCCTCGCGCGCCCTTGGCTGTCAGTTACCCCGCGCGCTCCCGCCGAGGCGCAGCTCCCCGCGCGCTCCCGCCCCTCCCCCGCCCGGCTGGGAGCTCGGCGCAGACTCGCTTGTTTGTTTCTGCAGGAGCCCAAGGAGAGGCCGAAGCCGAGAAGATGCCTGGCAAGCTCAAGGTGAAAATCGTGGCCGGGCGCCATTTGCCAGTGATGGACCGAGCTAGTGACCTGACTGATGCCTTCGTGGAGGTTGGTGCCAGGTCCTGCCCCTCAAAACACAGGGAGCGCCCAGCCCCGCCTCGCCCCCAGCTCTGCAGCCCTTTCTCCTGTCGGCCGCTGTCCTTTGTGCGGGTGCTCGTCCAACCCCTCCTTTGAGGGCTTGAGCGCCAGGACTGCAGCCCGTCTGATGGGTGCCCCGCTCTAGGGCTCTGTGGCGCCCTCCCCGCGTGGGGAGGCTCTTACTGCTCTGCATGCTGGGGTGACCGTAATGTCAGGTCTCGGAGCGGGCCACCTGCCAGGCAGGAGGTGATCCCGAGGCGTGGCCGCGCAATCGTCGGAGCTCAGGCGCACACACGCGCGCGCGCACACACGCACACGCACGTGGGTACCGCCATCGACTCAAGGAGAGGCGGTTCCTCCAGCCAGAGTAATGGAGACCACGTGAAGAAGGTAGATACAGTCCGTTATGGGCGCTTGGAGACCTAGAGGGCCCGATAATCCGTTCTTGAACACATTGTCTGAATCATCAGTGTAAACACAACCATAAAGCCCTCTGCTCTTGTACAGACTGGTAGGTATGATGAACTGTTTTAGGGTAATTTAGTGCCTTGAGGTAGGAAGTCAATTAAGTGTCATGGATTTAAATTGCAAAATTGCTTTTTAAGCCAGATGATTAGTTTAAAACTCATGCAAATTAGCGCAGCCCTAGGGCCCGGAAAGTAATAACCCTGAGTCTGAAAGAAGCCAAGTAAAAATTGTAATAAAAACTGACTTAATGAGCCAGAGCATTAGAATAATAATCATTAGGGCTAGTAATGCTTAGAGTTGACAGCTACAGGATAATATACAACCTGATTTCATGGCAATATAAACTATTCTTGATGTTCTGTAAAGGTTCTCTGACTTAATAACTGCAGTTTCCCCCCCCCAAACATTGCCGTGGTCATTCTTAATCCCAACTTGAGAAACAGATGCCGAGTGTGTTCTTGGGCCAGATGTTGAGTAATGGGGATACACAGATGGCCAGAGCATAGTCTTTGCTTTCAAGTAGCTCAGGGACTGACGCATACAGTTTAGGTTAATAACTGATAGCTAACGTGTTGAGACTCATTGCCAGGTCTTTGCTAACTACTTTTTAATTCTTATTCCTCATAACAGTCCTATTATATTGTTATCCCATATTACAGTTAAGATGATGGAGGCCTAGGAGCAGTAAATAATTTCCCAAAGGTTTCTTAACCTTGTAAATAGGTTTGTGGTCTGTTCTCTTAACCACTGTGCTAACATTGACTCTCTAGACAAGGTGATGAGTGTAGTAGAATATGGAAACTTCATTCTGTCTCTGAAAGTTTAGGAAGTTTTCCTAAGAAAATGACATTTGAGCTGAATCTTGAAGGACACTCAGGATTTTACTAGGCAGAGGGAACATCAAAGGCACAGAATGGGATACATGGTATGTTCAGGGAACTAGGTTTGAGATGTGTCTGGAGTAAAAGGGAATATGTGGGTAGTGGAGGCTGGAAAAGTAGGTTGGTGCCAAATCTCACTTTCTGTACTAAATAATTTTTCCTATTCTATAAACAGGGGCAAACAAAGAGAACTTTTTAAGGAGAAATGGAACAGGATATTTATTAGGTTGTTTATAGGATGACTCTATGATGGACTATATGATGGACTGGACAGATGAAAGATGAGACAGGGAGATCAGTTAAGAAGGTGGTAAAATTATCCACACAATATGTGCATGTTGAGAATGACTGGAAACTGATTAGAGGAGGAAGACTTGAGAGGGACATTTCCCATTTTTTTTTTCCTTTAAGATTTTATTTATTTATTTGACAGAGAGAAAGCATGAGCAGGGGCAGGGGAGAGGGAGAGGCAGGCTCCCGTCTGAGCAGGGAACCCAATGTAGGGCTCGATCCCAGCACCCCTGAGATCATGACCTGAGACAAAGGCAGATGCTTAACTGATTGAGCCACCCAGGAACCCCTTGAGGGACATTTTTTTAGGTAAAATCGTCATGCCTTGGTAATAAATGGTTTTAATGGTGAGAGAATGGTTGGATTCAAGAGTGACTTTTAATTCCTTCTTTTCAGCAAATAGTTATTGAATGCTGTTTGCCAGACCAGTGCTAGTCAGTGGTATAACTGATGCCTATGTGATAGTAAACAAACTAGACTTGGTTCCTAGTTTTATGGAGTTTATATTTTGGTGGAAGAGACAGAGTAAAGAAATGATTAAATAGATAATTGTGATGAGTGTCATGGAAGAAAACAATAGAGATTAACAGGGAACATCTACTTTGGGTTGGGTGAGCAGGAGACCTCTGAGGAAGTGTCAATCAAAGACCTACTGGATGAGGAGGAGCCAGCTGCTCAGGGAGTGTGTTAGGAAGTGAAGGAAGATGGGTGTGGCTGGGATGTGGCACAAGATAAAGTTGGAGAGTTAGTCAAGGAGCCAATCATGCAGGATCTTAGAGGCCATGATTAGGAATATGGATTTTATTCAAGTTCTGTGGGAAGTGGTTGTTGAGATTAGTACTTTTTTTTCTTTTCCTGTCTGGAGTATGGACTGAAGAGAGAAAGAGCTGAAGCAGACAACTAATTAAGAGATTCTATAATAATTCATAAAAAGAGAAGGTGGGGGCCAAGATGTTGGTTTGGTAATGGAGAGAAGTGGGTGGATTCCACATATACCTTGAAGATAGATTCTAGAGGATTTGTTGGTTGACTAGAGGAGGGAGCCAGAGAAAGGGAAGCTAAAAGATGACTCAGAGCTTTCTGGAATCTTTAGGGTAATTTTCTGAGGCTCCATAGGATTTGTAGAGATTGTTTGAGTGGGTGGAGGATCAGTTTCTGTTAAGGTGTCTTAGGTTTGAGATGTTAATTGGAGTTGTCCATGAGGGAGTTAGATTTGTGAGTATGGTGTTCAGAAGAAAGATGTGGGGGGAAAAGAAAGAAGAGAGATGTGAGTTAGAAATGAGCTCATACAGGCCATTGCTTTTCCACTCTGTGAGACCCCGTGCCCCCTTTATATAGCAGGTATTTTGAAATCCACTCTTTACTATGCTGTCATAATATTTATGGCCAATGTAACCTAGCCTCACAATTAAAAAAAAAAAACAATACATTGTTCTAACTAGTAGTTTGACAAATTAGAGAATTTTTTTTAGTATGTATTTCAATATAGAAGTACTTGTTCATGATCACAGTAGAAGATACGAAGTAATCAAATTAAGTCTGTGAATATTTATTAAGTCTTTGTATATATCCATCACTGTACTGGGTATAGTACAGTGTTCTGGGGATATAGTAGTGACTAAGAAATTTCTTTAATCATAGAGCTCACGTTTTACTGGGAAGATGAAGTTCATAAAGAAGGTAATTACAAGATAAACTGATAGATGGTAAGAATATGGAGAAAATAAAGCAAGGATACAAGATAGGGAGCGTCTCACCTATGTGTAAAAATCATGTGAATATGATTCCATATAGTGAGACAGTCGCGCAGTTTTGACATCTTAGACCTTCATTGCTATCTGATTTTTCAAAATAATCAACTAATGGGGAAAAGCAGAATTTTCCCTTAATTTACATGATGGTTATATTTCTTGACAATTATGTCTATGAAAACTGCATTACAACCTCCCCTTTCTTCCCGCATTACAACATTTTTATCTGTAAAATTAGTTAGGTTTTTAATCCTATGTGATTATCTGGTAGGACATTTGGAAGTCATAACGTGAGACAAGTCTTCATTGTCGGGAACTATTTCTTGCATTGCAGAATACGTGGCTTCTCTGGCCCTGCTTCTAAATATTAGAACTGTTCTCCACAAATATACCCAGAGAAATTTCTAAAATTCCCTTAGGAATTGGTCTGTCCCTTTTGTAAACCTCTGACTTAGGGGGAGAGAGAAGAGGTATGGATCCTTGAAAAAACTTGACATTAAGCTATTAGAGTAGGAAGATTAGGGGAAGAAAACAGATTATCAGCCAATTGGGAGAGAAACATCAGGAAAGTAATGTCTCAGAATGCAAGAGGAAGTTTCTAGAAAGAGGAAACCCTCAACCATTAAATGGCATGGAGAGGTCAAGTAAAGAGAACAGAAAAACCACTGAATTGTACAGTGTGGGGGTTGTTACTGATTCTGCAAGGAGAGTCAAGAAAGCCCATACTGTAGTAAGTTAACAAGGGTTAAGATACAGGGGAGGTGAGGAAGAGGTGTGGCATGAATAGGCAACTGTTTCAAGAAACGGCTGTGAAAGGGAGAGGAGAAATTGTGTGGTATTTGGGGAGTATGTAGCTTTTAGTATTTAAAAATAATAAATTAGAAGATACTAGAACATATTTCTGTGGTAATAGGAAAAATCCTGCAGGAAGGGAAAGATTAATGCAGGAAAAAGGGGATAATGAAGGATTACTATATAATAAAGGGATAAATTGTGTGATGTAGCCTCTTGTACTGTTTAAGCTCATAGGAAAGGGAGATAACGATGCCGGAACTGGTCACGAGAAGTCTTTTTGCTGGGCTTGAAGGATGGCAAAATTTCTATAGGCCAAGAGGAAAAGGGGCTTTTTTAGATGAATAGGACAAACTCAGTAAAAGCAAAAGGAGAGAGATAGAACATCTGTAATTTCTGGGAGGGTTCTTTTGTGGAATAAAATTTGCTACGTAGGGGGGATACAGGTTATTGAATGATCTGAAAACTGTGGGGCGGGGGGAAGTCTGTACAGTAGAACCTCTCTTAAGCAACTTCTATTAGCTCACTTACCACAGTCCCCAGTGCTCTGCATTCCTTCCATGAGTGTATTCTTGAATACCCCACATTGCTAGATTATTCTCTCATGTTCCTGCTTCTCTCATCAGTTGGCTGATAATACTTTACCAAGAGGCAATTATGTTTTTTCCCCAAACCTGTTTATGCCAACTCTATTTGTTATTGTAATTTACTTAAACCTTATGTAAATTGGTGAAATAAGAGTGAAAATGAAGTTGATAATGCTATGTAAAGACATGTGGATACAGTC